AAACTTATTTAAAATATTAAATAAATAATAAATTAGAAGTGTAGTGTTATTTAAAATAATAAATACTAAAATAATCTTTTATCTTACTCTTTTATCTTAGAATAAAGCGTGAATGATAGAATTTAGCAATTTTCAAATATTAAAAGAATAACATGGCAATCTTTTAATTAAAAATATTGTGTACAATCTGCGTGGATTTTATATAATATAAAATTCCCGGAAAAAATATTTTATATATAATTACATACAATTATATTTAATTATGTACAAAATATATTCATATAATATTTTTTCCCGGATTATTATAAACTAATCATCACTTATTGTAACACAATTGAATTAAGATATTCATGAGCTGCGTGCTTAACGAATCTATAAAGAAATAAAACAAAAACCGTGTAATAAAGTGGATCGGAAAACATTAAAAGTGTAAAGAATATATTATTTTACTTATTCGTAATATTCGTTAATATTTCGACAGTTAGACGGTTGGCGTAACCTTGGGATCGGGGATGGCACGGGGTGGCACGGAGTGGCGCGTCACGTTTATGCGTAGTTACTGCGCAGTCATTCCATTACCGAGCTCGTACAGGTGGGTGCTGTGCCGTTCTTCATTTCTTTTTGAAATCGAAATAAATACATAACACGAATCGTCGCACTTTAGATTTCAAAAACTTACATAAAATATTCAATAAGAAAAAGTCGAAAAAAGTTTTTTTTAAAAGACATTTTTAAATTATTTTCGATTCATTTTAATCCTTATAGTACACACGTTAGTTTTTGGCATATACACGTTCAATCATTCGTTTTCTAGCTTAATTTTCATCACTTTTACAAGTACATATAAATTATTAAATAATTTTTACATATATTTTGACAGCTTTAAAAAGTATTTGCAGTTATATATTCATAACAAATTATCGATAAATTGTTGTAACTAAATATAGCTAACGAAATGAGAAAAATATATTATTTCGTATAAAAATGTAAAACTCTGAAACAAAAATGTTTAACTATATTTAATTACAATAATTTATCTACAATTTGCTATGACTATATAACTGCACAAATACTTTCTAAAGATGTCAAAATATATGTAAAAATTGTTTAATAATTTATATATACTTGTAAAAGTGATGAAAATTAAGGAAGAATACGATAGACCGAACATGTATATTCGAATACAAGTATAATTGAACAATCGCTAGTCGTTCACATTCACTCTCTGATATGTAAGATAAAACTATAGAACAAGAAGATAGAAATATGGTAACAGTTAATTAACGCACGGCTTAGCGATGCAAAAACATCGCGACCGTTTTTTTGAAAATGTTAACGGACATAATTATCGTACGACGCATGTCATGACGTCACGGAGTCACAGTGCGCAGTTAGCTGGGCGACCCGGCACTGCCCGGCATGCGCCGATACGTTCTTCATGTGTTTTGTGTCGTTCCGTGCGTACTTCTTCTATTTAAAATGAGCTTCGTGTGAGGAATGAATGCTATAGGATTGTCGGGAACATAAAATCTGGCAAAATGATTGTCGTGGAGTAACGTGTGCGATATTCTTGTTAATTGCCGACCGTTTTGTTTAATAATTTATATATACTTATAAAAGTGATGAAAATTAAGGAAGAATACGATAGACCGAACATGTATATTCGAATACAAGTATAATTGAACAATCGCTATGTCGTTCACATTCACTCTCTGATATGTAAGATAAAACTATAGAACAAGAAGATAGAAATATGGTAACAGTTAATTAACGCACGGCTTAGCGATGCAAAAACATCGCGACCGTTTTTTTGAAAATGTTAACGGACATAATTATCGTACGACGCATGTCATGACGTCACGGAGTCACAGTGCGCAGTTAGCTGGGCGACCCGGCACTGCCCGGCACGCGCCGATACGTTCTTCATGTGTTTTGCGTCGTTCCGTGCGTACTTCTTCTATTTAAAATGAGCTTCGTGTGAGGAATGAATGCTATAGGATTGTCGGGAACATAAAATCTGGCAAAATGATTGTCGTGGAGTAACGCGTGCGATATTCTTGTTAATTGCCGACCGTTTTGTTTAATAATTTATATATACTTGTAAAAGTGATGAAAATTAAGGAAAAATACGATAGACCGAACATGTATATTCGAATACAAGTATAATTGAACAATCGCTATGTCGTTCACATTCACTCTCTGATATGTAAGATAAAACTATAGAACAAGAAGATAGAAATATGGTAACAGTTAATTAACGCACGGCTTAGCGATGCAAAAACATCGCGACCGTTTTTTTTGAAAATGTTAACGGACATAATTATCGTACGACGCATGTCATGACGTCACAGAGTCACAGTGCGCAGTTAGCTGGGCGACCCGGCACTGCCCGGCACTGCCCGGCACGCGCCGGTACGTTCTTCATGTGTTTTGCGTCGTTCCGTGCGTACTTCTTCTATTTAAAATGAGCTTCGTGTGAGGAATGAATGCTATAGGATTGTCGGGAACATAAAATCTGGCAAAATGATTGTCGTGGAGTAACGCGTGCGATATTCTTGTTAATTGCCGACCGTTAAATCGCTCGAAGCATCGGAGTTAGTGCCGCGGTTTTATTGGTTCCTGTAGAATGTAGTGTATTATTAGGAGTGTCGAAGGATTATCATGGAGCATAAATTAGTACGTGCAATCGCCAAATGATCCGTATTTCACGATATCAATCCTGCAAACTGTATGGCGTTACTCTGATCAGGCTGTTAGTGCGTCGAAATTTCTAGAATCGGAGTGAAGTTGTCGCAATCTTCCGAGAACAAGCCTTTAGTGCATCGGGAGTGTTGAATCTGCAAGTGAGTGAATGTTGTAGCATAAATTAATATAAATTTATATGTGCGATAGTCAAACGCAATTTGAATTTCGCTATTGCGTCGCGTCGGACTGTTGCAGTTGGCGCGTCGAAGCTTCGAGCGTCATTTTTCGAATTTCGTAAAAACGGATCTCGAATTCGGACGAGTCGGGAATGCCGAGTTCAACAATGAGCGGTCGTCGCGAAGCGTAAATCAGTGTGCATGTTAATATTTTTTCGGATATTTGCGATTTTCGGACAGTTATGTCGGACATTCGTGGTTCGTCGAAGGTTCGAGCATCGATATGAAGTGATTTCATCGCTTGCTTGATTTTAATCCTTGACACACGTCTGGGTCATTCGTGTCCTGCCCATTTCTTTTTTTTTTTTAAATAATAAGAGCACCTGATCAATATACCGGTCTCTTTTCTATTCCTAAAAAAAGTTTAGCATCTAGAGAACAAGTTTTGTGCGCGTTGTCGGCCTCAATTCGTGCGTATCCTTTAACTGGCATAACTCTGAAGTTCACTTCTAACCACAAAAATGATTCAAGATGTGTGCAGAGTATACATTTTCTGTAACTAAAAAATTTGTATTTTTTTTTTTATTTTCAATTGTAACTAATTCTTGGTTGTATTATGAGAATATTTCGCGAATTATTAAAAAAAGAATTTAATCCTAAAACAACACCTGAACCTTTAATGAACGCGATTTTTGGTACTCTTGTTGTAAATAAATTATAAGTTTTTTTTAGATTGCACCAACAATTACTTTGATTTTAAGTAAGGCTTATAACTCTCTCTGTCTCTATCTCTTTTTTCGCTTTAAAATGAGACAGAGAGAGTTTTAAGCTTAAAATCAAAGTAATTATTGGTGTAACCGAGCGTTAATGTAATAGCAATAATAAAATGCATTGTTTTAAAATGTAAATGCAATATATCTTCAATTTATAATAGCCCTTCATGCATATTAAAAAAACATCATTTTCAGGTTACTCAATAACTAAACTTTTTGGATAGCCGACACTTGAACTATATAATTTAATTATTGAGAATTAAAAATTTAGTTATTTGCTATTGTATTAAAAGAAACTTATAATTTATTAAAAAAATGTTCTTTGTAATATATATTACAGACAATAGTAATATATAATATTACTGACAACATCAAGAATATAAAAAATCGTGTTTATTGAAGGCTAATATATTGTTTTAGGGTTAAAGTCTTTTTTTAATAATTCGCGAAATATTCTTACAATACAATTGAAAATTAGTGGAAAATAAAGAAAAAGAAATTTTTTAGTTGCAAAAAATGTACATTCTGCATGTGATCCAGAGATGAACTTTATAGTTATGCCAATTAAAGAATATGCACGAATCGAGGCCGGTAACACATCATCAAACTTGTTCTCTAAATGCTAAACTTTTTTTAGGAATAGAAAAAAGACTGATTTTTGATCAGATACTCTTAGTATTTGAAAAAAAAAAAAGAAATGGACAGGACACGAATGACCCTGTGTATCAAGGATTGATTTTTAATAAAAATTTCAGCGATTTATTTTCATTGTTGTATTGTTGACTTCACTTTTTCAAGGGCAGTAGTACGTGGAGACATTTTACAATTACAGAAAACATGTCTTTTCTCAGATTTTTTTCTGTTCTGACAATAATTTTTATCATATGCTTGTTTAAATTACCCACCAAAAATATCTGTTGTTATAACATAGTTCAAGATGAAGTTGCACGTAGAGGCGCCACTAAATGTGAGTTTCATAAATTCCATAAGTTTCATTCATTTCTATCTCACGTGAGAAACTGAAGTGTGTATACATAACCTCAAAGATCAAGATTTTTGCGGTTATTTGTAAAAAGAATTATTTGTAGAAAGAATAATTTTAATGAAATTAAAAATATAAAAATAATGTTCTCTATAGCCTAAAAGAAGATCAAAGGTATCTCAAATCTTACCAGCACAAAAAGAAGGACTATTTGTGACCTTTGGAGAACCCTCGAGAAAAGAAGCACGTAGATTATAAATTTTATGCTTTTTAAGTATAAAAGCAGTGATAATAAAAAATAATAATGGCATCGATAACTAGATTAGTGAATTCCTTTGACGTGAATTCGAAGGAATTCGAATCGTTGGTGCACGATTTGGTTATTGATAACAACGATGTGCCATTTGATAGCCACGAGGTGTGAAATAAATTCATCTTTTTAAGGCTCGATTGCACCAACATTACTTTGATTTTAAGTGAGACTTAAAATTCTTATTTTCCCTCTTTAAAGAGAGAGGGAGAGATTTAAGCCTTGCTTAAAGTCGTAGTAATGTTGGTGCTAAATTAGGCCTAAATTCTTTTTGGGTGTTTTTATTTGATAACATAAATTGACACAACATTATTCTGTTTTTGTTTCTCATGAAATACAAAGATAGAAGACGTTTGTGTCGACTTATGTTATTAAAATATTCTTTATATTCTTTCTGTAAAACACTTTGCGTAATGCATCGCTTATACATTTCAGGTCAACGCTGTGCAAAATATTTTTATAAAAAGTGTTAATTCTCGTATAAATCAAGTAGGATGTGACTTTCTACCTATCTTAAACAGAATTTTGCCTATATGTTCCAAAGATACTTTTGCAAAATATGGTTTGTTTTGGATAGTCAATGCTATTAAAGTACTAGAAAATGTACATAGCAGTACACAAGATTTAATACTGGCATGTAAAGTATTAGGAGTTTTAGTTGAGCATTGCAAGGAGATTCCAGATTTGCACAAGCAGATCTCTATGCAACACGTCAAACAGCTTATAAATATTCTTGGTGCATTGCAACCAGTAAAATGTGGAGCAATTTATTATTTGATGGCTGTTCTGCTTTATCATTATTCTGAAGTTTGTGAAAGATTTCAGGTAATAAAATGAACAATTTTATCTTATTAACTCAATATTTTATGTTGATTTAGTCAATGTTTTATATTAATTTTAATCATCATAAGAGATTACAAGCCAATAAGAAAACGTTCTAACAATGAGAAATTGTTTTAACATTTTCAGGAACTGATAAGGAAAATGATATTATTACAAATTGATTCTATGCAAGAAAATTTAGTTAATGCTAGTGCAAGATGCTATATTCTTTTGTCCAAAGCGACAGAGCGTTCATTTAAACCACCACCATCTAAATCCATTTATACTGCAACAACATATAATGAAGTATTGCTTTGTAATAACTTGCATGTTATAATGGATGAATTATTCTCTGGTTTAATGGAGCTGGAAAGTGTAGATATCTGGGATCAATTAGAATTACCACCTATTTCTAATAAAGATGCAGTACAGTACTATAACGGGCAGAAACAAAGATTCACAAATCTATGCATTTATCTCTCCTCAATGTTGCAGTACTGATCTATTAATTTTGTATATATTAAATAATATTATTAACATCCGTTATTCACGATCTTGAAATATATATTTAATTTAAAATTGCAGTGGATACGAAGCAAGAAATTCTGTTCTGCCTCATGATATTCTAGGAGTTTTATGTCGAGGATTGGCGATAACTCCATTAAATTTAATGAATAAAACTTCATTCAAGGAACAAATGCTATACATTATTTTACCAAAATTGCATATTAATTTACTCACAGTTTTAGATGCATTTATAAATGGGTATATGTGTTTACATATTTTTATAAGATATATATATTTGATTCGACAATTATAGATCAAATAATTTGTAAATGTATGTTTTAGATTTGCTCAGGAGCTAGTACCGTATGGGGCAACCATATTACAGTTATTCCAACAAACATTGCAGTGGACAAGTGTCGTCTCAGCTAATCAAATGACACTTAGTGATAGTAAACCTTTTAAGAATGTCAGGATACACACGTACAAATGTCTTTGCTCATGGCTGATTAATATGAGTACATTGTCAGGAATAGAGATAATTGGAAATGATTTTATTACGGGCATATTGAAGGATGTAACACCAGAACGAGAGTGTATATTATTATCTGTAAGTTCAATTAAATGATGCTTTATATTATAAATTTAATAATTATATATAAAGTTTTTTTTTATAAAGCTTATTCTGTACATTCTTATAGGTGCAACCAAAACATTTGTCTAAACGAGCGATAAAACGTTTTAAACGTAGTCAGTATGAAAATAGTGCGATATTGAATAACGGAGAAAGTTCTACTAAAAAAGTATGTCTAGATGCAGATTTATGTAGAGAGGCTCTTATCGTTTTGCAAAACATGTTTTACAGTGGTAGCGTTCTGCTGAAACAAACATTTTACAAGGTAATTTCATTAAGTGTGCAGTTGTAATAATGCATTTCTACAACTTTCCTGAATATTTCTTTTAGAACGTGCAGAATACCGTAATAACCTTATTGTACAATATTTATCTCGGTGCTGCTGAACAGAATTTTTATAAAGATCATAATGTATGCCGCTTGGAACTATTTAAAGTATTAAAAGCTTTACAAATGAATCCACATGTTGCATTAGCATTTCCCATACAATATTATCTAGAAATATCGCATATAGCCGCTTATGATATCGATTTAAGTATTGCTCAAGAAGCAAAACTCACATTAGCCGAGTTGGAAAAAATTATACATCCTACTGCACCTACGTTACAGTTACCTCGGCAACAGTAAGTTTTAAACCTTATTTAAGTTTATATTTTAAGTTTTATTATACGTAAAAAACTATAAGCTCTTTAGTTATATATTAAATAGATTACAAAAATATATATTAATTTCTAGGGAATCTGATGAACTTATTCCTGAAACTCAAGTAGAAGACGCTATTACTAGCAATAGAATAGAAGCTACTACTAACAATGAAATAGAAAAAGCTACAACTAGCAACAATGAGATAGAAATAGCTACTACTAGTACAACAGATAAAAGAAAGGCTGAAGAAGAGATTTCTCATGATGCAGATACATTACTATCTATACATAAACGACCCAGAATAATTGCGATTGAAATAATACAGAATGAAAATGTTACAGAATTAACAGAAGGGAATAATGGCATGGATATAAATAAATCTCAGGCAGATGATAATTCATGTCGACCAAATGTAATTCATATTGATCCAATTCAGACTGAATATGAATTAGAAGAACAAGACGAAACACAAAAGAAACAAAATCAGCTACATATTGATACAATTTCAAATGCTACTACTGAAAATAGAGTGGAATGTGAATTAGATACGCAAATTACTACAAAAGAACAACACGAGCAATCTGAAAATTCGAAATCATATATTGATAAAAGAAACAAAAAAGTAGAAGAAAGTTCTAAAATCAAAGAAAAAGTACAAAAAAAGGCATCTCAAGATAATATGAATGAATGGGAAGAGATGGATGATGAAGTACTAAACTCTTTAAGTTTGTTTCACGATGAGGTAAAATCAAACAATTAGATGATTTTATTTCATATGTACTTTTACAATAAAAAAAAAATGCATAAACATGTGTTATGAATAATTCAACCGCCAAATGGTATCTGCGGTATAAGTACCTTCGATATAGGAGGTACCTTCGGTAATAATCTATTATTTGTTTTTTGTTTCGTTGTATCTTCTTTTGATTTTTCAGTATTTTGATTTGTCGATTTGTCTGCGGTATTGAAGCCAGACTTGGGAACAAACGTATTGAGTGTGTTAATAGGTTTTTGAATTATAGATATTGTTTCTTTAGCACCTTGTTGTATTAATTGAAGAGGTACTTTGTATAAACTGCATGTGGGTGATTGTAATCGTTTTGGTACAGCTGTCCACAATCCCATTTCGCAATATCTAGAGTTAATATATAATAAATAATTTAATAATATAACATACATTTTGAAAGTAATATTTAACATAATCTTTCACAATGTTACCTAAAATTATTCATGATTTTCGGGGCAGTTGTGATGCTGACAAAGGAATTTGTGTCATCTGAGAATCTTGGAATTATGTCTGGCACCCAACTGTCATTAGAGCGTACATTTGTAGTAAGTGTGCTAATCGTGCCACTTCTCGCGAAATTTGCTATCATATCCGTAAAAATGTCAGTTACGCGTTCGTCTGCTTCGTCAAGCTCTCTGCCATCGCTCACTTTTTCGCCAGTAATTGTGTTTCTATTAAAGATGAATCCTAGATCATCGCCGTGATTTAAATTACCTACAAACGAGATTATTAATTATATCAACATTATGTAAGGAGAACATAGCATAATATATTTTATCAATTATTATAAATTGTACCATCTAAGGATCTCTTGGCATCGACGATCGGCAATCCAGTGAGAAAATCTTTGCCATAATTTCTTTTTCCCTTGTGGTCAAAAGTATATAAAAACGTATTTGCTCTTTTAGACCAGTAGTCAACGGTCAAAAATGCGGGAGCATTATAGAGTGAATCACCCAAAGCTTCCGCAACTTTTCCAACGTTATTCGGTGTGCCATCACTTTGGAATATGTTAAGGTAACCGCGGAACGCTTGCGAGACGAACCGCGATTCATTTTGCATATTTGAAATAGTCCCTTGCAAATATGGTATGAAATCATTGATCAAATAATCCGGAATCGTGCTCAGTTTGTTTTGCACTTCGTCTTTGTATTGACCGAAAATTGCACCTCCTGTTTCATCTTTCATAACTCCTGTTAATAGTGGTATAGACGGAAAATTGCCGTGCCTAAAAGAATCTTCCGGTGATGCGGTCATGAAATTTGGAAGCGACCTTAAAGACGATAGTAAGTTTGATTTAAAAAAGACTTAGTTCAATAATTTGGTTTCGGTAAATTTGTTTTACCTCCCATCATTGGAACCTTCTATAACAGGACCAGGCCCAAGCAGATTGGCTAAGCCGGAGACGAAACCTCGGACAGTTGTACGGGTGTTCTCCAATTCGGAATCGGTGCTGATCAATTTTTCGACTGGTAATTCTCGCAGACAGTCCACCATTCTGCGAGTATCGTTTATTGGACAGCTATTTTTCTGAGCTATGTGTCTAGCGGTCTTAGAAGGATCCTTGTCGATAGCGAAGTGAGATAAAATGGTCCCGGACATCGCAATTAATCCATGGAAGTAATCTACAAAAATATATTTTAAAGATGTATTTGCTTGCAGCGCCATAGATTATATCCTTACTTTTGCAGAATTTTGATAAAGATAGCATCATAGCGGAACTGGCGCCGGTACCGTGACCGAAAGCTATGACTTTGTTTGGATCACCACCGAAGAAATGTATATAATTTTTTACCCAGTCGACGGCCAGTACCATGTCGAACATACCGTTGTTTCCTGGCATTTCCTGTGTACCTGTACTTAAAAATCCTGAAACAGAGAGATTTAATTTTTCATTCTTGCTATACAAAATTAACATTCCTAAGAAGTTTTGTAGACAATACTTGTTTAGAAGATATCTTTATGTCTTTTAAATATCTTATGGACATGTCTCAAAATACATCTTTATAATATATTTATAATGTTTTTTAGATACGTATGTTGCCTCAATTATATCTTTTCTTCAGCATGTTTTAATTACCTAATGTTCCCAATCTATATTGAATAGATACGACAATCAATTCCTTCTTAATTAAATGTCTCATTTCGTATTGACACGCCGCACCTCTTCTAAAACCACCTCCATGAATCCATATCAGCACAGGATAACCGCTGCCGATATCTGGAAGCGACGGGGTGAAGACATTGAGAAAGAGGCAATCTTCGCTTCCGATAATTTTATCGGTTTCATTGTGATTGGGCTGAGGACAAGGAGGTCCCCATGTAGTGGCGTTGTATTCTCCTTCGAGGTACACAGGCGAAGCTCTCTAAAAAAATTATTTTCTTATTAAGAATGAAGATATTAATTTAATAATGATAGTTTCATTATTTCTCTCTCTCTCTCTCTCTCTCTCTCTCTCTCTCTCTCTCTCTCTCTCTCTCTCTCTTTCACACACAGAAAAGTCAAATATGGTTAGTATATTAATAGCGATAGTTATAAAATTATTTAATGTTAATTAAATAATTAATTTGTATTTCTGTAGGAGTATATAAAAGAGATATATATCTCTAAAAAATAGTTATGTTTAATTGATATTACAACGAATAATTAGTTATGTACGTATGTTTGATTAATATGCTAAATTGTTATATGCAGAATTAATTAATATTTGTTAAATAATATCGTTTTCTGCAATATGCTTTTTTCAACGCTTCCTTTTATTTTTTAGGCAGAATTGATAACGTATATCAAGTTCATTAAATTGAGCCTTTGTGACAGGATATACTGAGAGATAAAATAATGTTCCGTTCTACTCGATCGCGTTATTGATTAATAATATAGCGTAAAAAATATTACAAAAAAGAACACGATCTTTTGTGCCTACGTGAAAAACAGCTATTATTATTCGAGATCGCATGTTAAAGCGACATACATGTTTACTCCATAGGTCAATGAATTTAATTATTGCATATATTATGGTCATATATATGATGGTTTTCTGAAGCCATAGTTTACAACGGTTTAATTAAGTTCTTAACGTAATTAACGCATGCATTCGCCAGTATTACATATTAAAAAAATATTAATCCAATAAATCGTATTATATAATCGTATTATATAATAAAACGTATTATTAAATCTTCAATCCACAATTTCTTCTAGATTCATATAAAATATTGAATCTATATAATATTAAATCATTTAAAATGTAAATCAATTGCGTTATTAATATTTTATTATACATATATTACATATTTTATTATACATATAATACATACAGATAAGAGTTGCAAAAAAATGTCAAAAGATTTTTAATATATCATAGTAATATTTATAATAATGTATCGATTGTTATTGTTATTATTATACTTAATGTAGATATACCTGAAATCTAGCTCGACCGATTGATGGCTGTCCAAATCTGATTCCACGAAAAACATAGAATCCCTTATCAGGATCGCGGATGCCGGTAATATGTGCGTATCTATCGTTTTTATTCACAAAAACTACTGGATCATCCTTGGGAGGCTGCGCGGCCGGTGCACCGCCGACAATTCTCTTTCGTCTAATCACATTCGCATTTGTTAATAAGCAAAATAAAAGGATAATGAACGAAACAATGCGTCCATCCATTTCGAATACGTGCGTTGAAATAAAAGAATTATCATTAGCGCGTCTCTCATTGAGCATTAATGTGAACGAGTTGGTGGGGATGCACGTCGACATTCTTTATTGTATGGAATCTTCATTATTAAAAAATTATTTTTATTTAAATAATTATAATAAATTATAAACAATACAATAATTTAATTTTTATTAGAAAGAGAATTTCAGCATAATTATTGACGATATAAAATTGCAAATTATTTTTTCAATAAAATTTTTGTTTAAATTACAATCCAGCAGACGAAAATGGATTAAAATGGATTGAAATTTTTTTCTATCCGAATGCATATTTTAAATAGTTATAGTAAATAGTTTTTTTGGATTTAATTGGATTCAATTAGATTCAATTGGATACAACTGGATTGAAAAACTGCATTTCCTATTCAAAATTTTGAATTAAACAATATTCAACAATTGTGTTTGTGTACAGAAAAAGTTAATATTATTTATATAATATTATAATATATTATTTTTAGATTGAAAGGCATAGAGATATACTCCATGCAATTTCTATAAATGAATAAAAATGCATTCAGAATTAAAAAGCATTCATTTTAACATTCGTGAATCAATATTCATAATTCATATTTCTGTAAATCTGAATCCATTTCAATTCATTTCAGTCTATTTTTCTCATTTGTTGAGAATAAGATTTATATGTAGAGACAACAATAAGAACTATAACAATAAAAAATACCATGTATAATTACTATAATAAAATATATAATTGAATATGAAGTAATAATTAAATAAGTATAATTAAATCTGACATCAAATCTTCTCTGGTAAGAAAATTTCTTTTCAGAGATAACTTAAATAGTTAATTGCTGATAATTTATGTTGTTCGTCTTATTTATTAAAGCATCAAAATGCAAAAATGTGTGCAAAATATAATTAATCAGATATGTTACGGACAATAAGTTTGTATCAAACGCCATTTTGGCGGGCTAACTACGTGATCAATCGAAGCACTGTAATAACCTCCAATTAGTATTACGGTGAACTTCCGTCAATTTCCGTCTTTCCTCTCTTTGATGTTGGCTCCTTCGGTACTTGTATAGGACTTCGTTGGCGTGGATTATCCGCGTCGATCTACCACGCTCGAGATACATCTGTGAAAGAAATTCTCGATTACGTATTCTCTGTTTTATGTGCGTAAAATGTACTTGATATTTTCGCGAATTATGAAATGAGAATATACTCTTATCTCGAGCGGCATCGCGAGGTTAAGATGCGCCAACGAAATCCACAATGTGACGAGCATGATGTTGCCAGTGTCATTGTGGCTAGATGCATGATAATTAACGTGGTTTCTTTTCAGGTTTGAGCCATGGGTAGAGTAATTCGTGCGCAGCGTAAAGGTGCGGGATCCGTTTTCCGATCTCATACCAAGAGGAGAAAGGGAGCACCAAAGCTGCGATCTTTAGACTTCTCCGAAAGGCATGGATTCATCAAGGGTGTTGTGAAGGTTTGCAACTACTTTCTATTCTATTCGAGACACTATTCCATTTGGCACAATTGTAGAGTTCAGCTGGATTTATTCAAGTTTGTCTGAATTCTTTGATTTAGATCTTATATTCATGATGATATCCAACATGTTTACATCTGATTGATTAGATGACGTTAAATTAGAGGCTCTTTCTGAAGATTTTTTTGTGTTACAAAGGTATTTTTAATCAGTTTAATCGATTATTTAAGAGACATTTTTTTTTTTGTTTAGGATATTATTCATGATCCTGGTCGTGGAGCACCATTAGCTGTGGTGCATTTCCGTGATCCTTACAAGTTCAAAACACGTAAAGAATTATTTATTGCACCTGAGGGAATGTACACTGGCCAATTTTTATATTGTGGAAAGAAAGGTATGTAACAATAATTTCTAAATGAATAATATTAAACAGGATAAAATTGATGCTTTATCTAAAGTAGGCCAGTCCAATTTGAAATCTGCAATCAAAACGCAAAGCCATCAACATAAAAAAAATTCAATGTAAGATTTTAGGAACTATAAACTGTTGATAAGCATCGCTTAAATGTGTATCAACACATTTATACACTTTACAATCTCCGAAATCTTACATTGAATTTTTTTTGTATCAATAGCTTTGCATTTTGGCTCTGGAATTCAAATTGGACAGACCTGATCGAAAATAACTACTGTCATTTATAAGTATTTGATTTATTACATATTAATTTTTATTAATAAAAATATATAACGCTTTCAATTTTTTTCAGCCAATCTCCAGATTGGAAATGTGATGCCAGTCGGCATGATGCCAGAAGGTACGATTGTCTGTAACTTGGAGGAGAAGACTGGCGATAGAGGCCGATTGGCTAGAGCTTCTGGCAATTATGCCACAGTCATAACACACAATCCTGACACCAAGAAAACGAGAGTTAAATTGCCTTCTGGTGCAAAAAAAGTTATTCCTTCCAACAACAGAGCAATGGTTGGAATTGTCGCTGGAGGCGGACGTATAGATAAGCCTATACTCAAAGCTGGTAGAGCTTACCACAAGTACAAGGCGAAGAGGAATTGCTGGCCTAAGGTATATCCTTTGAGTTTCACATTGTTGCTATATAATGACACAGAATTAAATTTTTTTCAATGATGGTAATTAAGACATTTGAAACCTGAAGAAATTCATGTGGAATTTTTTTTTTAACTGAAGGTAAAGCTCTTTTATGTCGAGCTTATATGTTTTTTTTTGCCGTGTTCGAGACACTTCTAATTTTTGTAGGTTCGTGGTGTTGCCATGAATCCTGTGGAGCATCCTCATGGTGGTGGTAATCATCAACACATCGGTAAAGCATCCACTGTCAAGCGTGGCACCAGCGCTGGTCGTAAGATTGGTCTTATTGCTGCTCGTCGTACTGGTAGAATTAGAGGAGGCAAGACCGACACGAAGAAGGATGATTAGATTAAACGCTGATATTTGGGAACATGTATAATAAAGGAAAATATACAAACTTGCATTTGCTATATACTCAAACAAATTCTACGAATTCTAACGAAGTATTTTGGACAGCTGAAGATCGAAATTGAAACGAAGGGAGAGACAAAACTATTTTCTTGCATCTACATTTTATGGATGATATAATCTTGTTTAGAATTTAACTGAAAGATAAGATCTTGTTTGTATCTTTAAGGGCCTCAGTTGTTCTATCTTTTGGTAAATTTTACTTGTGAGGTAAATCTGGTAATCCACGCATGTGGGTAATCTTGCTACTTACCCAACATGTAAAATTTACCAAAAGATGAAACAACTGACCCTAAGAATTACAAATCTTTTTGTAGAAATTTTTTATTATATAAGAATTGTTTTTATAATTTAATACTCAAACTGAATTTTATCATAGTGAGAGAAAGAATCTTTAGTTCTGCATAATCTTTGACATTTAACACTTCGACTACGCATACACATATATAATTACATATATGTGTATGTCGTAGTCGAAGTGTTAATTTTAGTAAATGTTTAAAATTATATATAGTACAATAAACTGAATTTACCGAATTAACATTGACGGTGATATAAATAATTTAATTTTGAAAATACATACATATATCTATTGAGACTCGTGACTTGTATTGATATTAACATTCTTATTTGCATAAAAAAAATTCTAATCTCTGTTGATATTAAAAACAAATTATTTGCGAATTTCAAATTGAGAATATTCGATAACATGAATTTTGAATGAATTACCAACCGTGCTTTCAATCAATTTACATTGTCGTATAATAATTAATAATATTCCTAATATAGATTTTCGAATTTTTGCGTGACGTTTTTTCCTTTTTTTATCTTCAGCGGTGAGAGGGGATTCTCTTCCCGAACACGCCGCGTTCCGTCGCCCCTGACATCCGGCGGAAATTGTGTCGTCACCATTTTGGCAGTTCGGTCTCTCGGCCATTTTCGTTGCGTCAACGTCGAGTGCGGCCAGGGGCCTCTCGCGCTTTCCTAGTAATCACGCCAGTTGCCTCTGGGATTCCTTCGTATCGTGTTGAACGAGAGACTTAACCGATTCGCGCCGTTTTTTCGATAAACTGATAAAGAATCGGGCCGAATCGCGAGGATATCGAATCTATCATCGCCTGGCGAGGCGTTATATAGTCCACGAGACGACAAAGAGACCGAGGGCGAGAAAGAGAGAGACAGAGATAGCGCGTTGGGACGCGTTGGAAATTTTTTCGATTCGAGTGTGTGTGTGTGAGAGAGAGAAAGAGAGAGCGAACGAGAGAGAGAGAGAGAGAGAGAGAGAGAGAGAGAGAAGAGAACAGTCGAGCTAAAGCTAAAAGGGCTTCAAGCGACAGAGCTGCGAAAACTACGCACCGAGGCGGAGTAATATGAGTAATGCAGCCAACCAGAATGGATCAGGTCTAGAGCAGCAGGTAAGAAAAAAAAAGGGACGAAAGAAAGGACCGCAGGAGGCATTGTTCTCGGGGAAGCGTCTCCCGATTTCTTTCCCTCCCACTCCTTTTTTATTTTTGCACTCTCGCCACGATCCTGCATTCTAACGTGATCTGCGGATTTTTCCGATGTGAACGTCTGTTTTTGCCAGAGAACGTTTCGAATTCCGAAGGGAATTTCCTTTATCTGATCGAAGAGAGGATGAAAGAGGGAGAGAGAGAGAGAGAGAGAGAGCATCATGGGCCGTCGTCACTCGTCGACCCGCTCATGACGTACGCTACGTATAATGGCGGCAAGCGATTCCGGGAACGGCATGCCTCGTGTCGCGAGTTGCGACGCGCTCGCTCTCTCTTTCTCCTCACTCTTCCTTCGGCTTGTTCCGAGAGGATTGCTCGCGGTAGCGGGGGCAGAGGAAGATCCCCCTGCATATAAGTTAGAATTTCACAGAACCCGATCGAGATGACTCATCGTCGGATCGGACGATAACGACTTTTATCCGCGCGAATACCACGCGGTTGCAGTCTGCGATATAAAACATCTAACCTGAGTTTTTCTGTTCCCCTGCAGCTAGCTGGTCTGGACTTGCAGGGCTCCCGCCAACCAAGTGGGGGCCGCTACGTTCCACCGCATCTTCGTCATAAAGCTGCGAGTGAGTATAGGAGTTTGTTGAAGTTGCTAATTTTTAAGTTGGAGTACGGAGAAATCTTTATTTAAAAAATTCATCGCTTCTCATTGTCTAGTTCTATGACAGAGTATTGAATGATTCATAATGCAATAGATCGACATGTCGAGACTGACAATCATATCCTGGCCAGCAGACTGTTTTAATCTTAGTTTTATGAAATACTTAGCTTTATAAATTGTGTTCAGCAGATAAAGTAACTTTGTGACTATTATGTGATTATGGTGTTTTCTATTTGTTAACACAAGTTAACAAAAGTGTCATTTTATCTTTATTGTTCTCTGAATGTCAAGAAAGATAGAATGTTTGTGTCAATTTGTATCACTAAATAGAAAGTATCTAATACGACTGGTTTATATATATTTAGATGCAGTGAAAAATTAGGAGCAAGAAGCAATTATATTAAAGAATCTTACAATAGTTATGTAAATCTACTCTTTCTGCTGATAAGAATCATTGTTTTACAAAACAGGATAAATATAAATAGTATATAAATGTTTAATTTTTTTTCTAACAGGTAACCCACCCTCGGATTTAAATTACTCTTCCAACTCTAGACCATTTGGAGATAGAGATAGAGGAGGAGATCGCGATCGCGACCGAGAAAGAGACCGTGATCGAGATAGAGGTAGGGGCGGTTATCGAGACTCGCGGAGTCCTCGCGACGTTGATTTTGCGAACTTCGGGAGCTTCGGTGGGCGCAATAGGCGCAGTCAGGAAAATGGAAGAGATTATAGATACTCCAACTCCGAACGCGATCGACCAATTAGCGGCAATGATCGCTGGCAGGAGCCTATTAGAAATGATCGCTGGCAAGATAACAGAAATGACAGAATGGGCGGAGGAAGATGGGGCGACGACAGAGGCGGAAGAGGCGGTAGAGGCGAGGTCGACTGGACGATCCCCACTGCCAGGGATGAGCGATTGGAGCTGGAGCTGTTCGGCTCTGGCAATACTGGGATCAATTTTAGCAAATATGAGGATATCCCAGTTGAGGCTACCGGTGAGAACATACCACCACACATCACATCTGTAAGTACAATATACATGGGACTTTATAGAGCACTCATATCTCTTTCCTACTCTCTAATTTGTTCGTTTTCTAATTTTTCAGTTTGACGAGGTTAAGCTGACAGAGATAATAAAGAATAGCATCGCCTTGGCAGGATACGATAAGCCTACACCGGTACAGAAGTATGCGATACCGATCATCATCGAACGCCGTGACGTGATGGCCTGCGCTCAAACCGGATCTGGTAAAACAGCGGCCTTCTTAGTGCCAATATTGAATCAGATTTATGAGAGCGGGCCGCGACCACCACCACCGCAAGCAAACTCCTCCGGCAGGCGTAAACAGTATCCGTTAGGTTTAGTGTTGGCTCCCACGAGAGAGCTTGCTACACAGATATACGACGAAGCACGAAAGTTTGCATACCGATCGCGTATGCGTCCCGCAGTCGTATATGGTGGTTCCAACATAGTAGATCAAATGCGCGAGTTGGATCGCGGTTGTCACCTACTTGTGGCGACGCCTGGGCGTCTGGTGGACATGCTGGGACGTGGTAAAATTGGCTTGCATAATTGCCGGTAAGTTCATGTCACGTAACGATCGACTTAAGAATAGCACGGTTATTTATTTATACTTTTAGATTCTTGGTACTTGATGAAGCAGATCGCATGTTGGATATGGGTTTTGAACCGCAAATAAGACGTATCGTTCAAGAGGATAATATGCCACCGACTGGAGAGAGACAGACTCTCATGTTCTCTGCTACTTTCCCAAAAGAGATTCAAATGTTAGCCAGAGATTTCCTCAGCAACTACATTTTCTTGGCAGTTGGTCGCGTGGGATCGACTTCCGAAAATATTACACAGAAGATAGTATGGGTAGAGGAACATGACAAACGTTCATATCTACTTGATTTACTACAAGCTAGCAACTTTTCAGATCCTAGTAAGTTATAGACGAAATTCAAATTAACATCAAATTGTCGGTTTTAATTAATTTTATTAATGTGTTACACTTGTATTGCGCAGCTGCTGAGTCACTCACCCTAGTGTTCGTGGAGACTAAAAAAGGTGCTGACATGCTCGAAGAATACTTGGCCTCAATGGGATATCCGGTTACTAGCATTCACGGTGATAGGACTCAACGCGAGCGAGAGGAAGCATTGCGTCGGTTCCGTGCGGGCAAAGCACCGATTCTGGTCGCTACCGCAGTGGCAGCACGTGGTCTCGATATACCTCACGTTAAGCATGTCATTAATTTTGATTTGCCCGGTGATGTTGAAGAATATGTTCATCGTATCGGTCGTACCGGTCGTATGGGCAATTTAGGTTTGTTTCATTTTGGAGTTGTTGTATTACAATCCAAAAAGAACAAAGACATCACACTGCGTCTTGTTTTATAATTCAGGTTTGGCCACATCATTCTTCAATCATAAAAATCATAATTTGGTACGTGATTTGGTATCACTGCTTATCGAAGCCAATCAGGAACTTCCACCCTGGTTGGATGATATGTATACTGAAGCGAGATATTCCGGAGGTGGATCTCGACGACCAGGTGGCAGCGGCGGCGGCGGCGGCGGTGGCGGCGGTGGCACCAAAGGACGCTTCAGTGGTGGCGGCTTTGGTGCAAGAGATTATCGTCAACAACCCAGTTCTGGGTCTGGTCGTAGTAATGGTCCCTCTAGACCTGGTGGTTATGGAGGTAAATAAAATAATTGCGACTAAGATATATTGCTAATATTAATAGACTACTAATTTAAACATTTATTTAAGGATAGTATAATTAGTAGTTTTTAATATGCATTTATATATATATATATTTTTTTTATTATTATATTACATTTAATATTTTACATTTAATATTTTATTTATACATGTTGTTTATTTATGTCATTACAGGCGGTTATTCAAGTTACGGAGGTAACTATAATAATTCATCGTACAATAATTCCACTAATAATGGCAACAGCGGCCCTGATTGGTGGGGAGCATGGGACAAGTAGACAATTATTTCCATCTCTATTTCTACTTCTATCATCATTATTATTATTACTCTACACGCAAATTCAATTATATGTAAGAAAGACATCATGTCTGACACTACATAAATGTGTTTTGCGCGCGTACATGTACACACACATGCGCAGAGTACAGACAGTTTTACGTATTCACGTTTTTTCGCTGACTGCCTGTGCACTCCAAGTTTTTGGATGAGAAGCAAAAAAGAAAGAATACTTATGTTTAAATTCCACTATATTACATTTATTCGTGAGCGATAAATTGACAAATCCTGCGTGCAATTTAGTATTCGCGCCGGTGGATCGCCGGAGAATATTTCAAATATGAATGATCTCACCATAAAAAGTGCGAGTGTCGTAAATAGGATTTGTTGAACACTTATTAGTTAGAGGTCCATTTCGTTGCCGTGCGTGCTGAGAAACACAAGTAGTATAATCATTAATGAATCAAATCAGTAAATCGTTAATCCCTGTTTGAAGGGAATAACGATGTAACACATAGTAGCTGAAGAAACTTAGTAAAATTTTTTAGAACTCCTGTCGAGACTATGGGGCTCATCGTAACTTTATTATTTACATATTCTTTTTTTTTCTTTCATAGGGAGTGCGGTAGGCGTATCTTCGGTAATTATAGCGTTTAAACGTTTGACTATTGTAAAACATTTTAATGCACAAGTATTTTATTGCCTTTGCTACCATAATGGCCAGTAAAAGTCATGCAGTTTCGTTCAAATGGATGGCATAATTCTTTAATTATATATGCACGTTTATCGCCTAGGATACGCCAAATTACCGTCGCCATAGATTATATATATATATATATGTGTGTGTGTGTGTATGTGTGTGTGTCTGTGTG